GAGAAATTGTTTTGGACTTGATATATATTCCCTTTTTCTTTTTAGAAGATCAAAAAATGTGAGAGGACGTAGCTGGCACGTTAAAAAATATAAGGACGGCGAACAGCTCAGAGATATTCTTCTATTCACGGAAAGTTTCTTTGCGATTATAATATGCACAAATTACTCTCATACCACAGTAATGTTCCTGAAGGTCCTACCATGCCAGGCTGGTCGATTGGAGAACGATGAGACTAAAAGCAGCTACCCAAGCAAGGTCTGAGGGCTAAGTCGTACTGCTCACTGCAGAGGGGTGTGACAGCAGCAGTAAGGTGTTTCCCTCGGACAACCAGCATCTGCAGCGATGCTGCCTTCTCACAAGGAAGGAAGGGGTTAGAAAAGGTCGACCCTAAAAATGTCACACCCCACCCTACCTCACGGATTTCCGTCTCCGGCGATAAGGGTGCCCACTAATGGCTTTAAAAAGAGCGGAGCCAACGCTCAAAAAACTTCTCATAAAGAGGCCGTGCGTGACCGGTCTCAAGCAGTTGTCCCTTGGACTCTGCGGTCACGCTCCCAGGTCTCTTAAACCGACACTAATCTACCTTCCTTTTCAGGTTCCCAGAGAAACACCCTTCCATGGTGTGGGCAGCCGGGAAGTGACAACCGCCCTCATACCCGTAACAGCACGAGAGACCAATCTGGTCGAAATCAAATCCTTCCTTCCGTTATCTCTCTTATCTCCACGACTAACTCTACTCACGTTCCTTTATCTCCCCGCACCTCTGCTGCAAACGATTAGAGTCCTTGAAACGTTATTCCCGGTCTCTTGAAGCCCCGTTCTAAACTACATGTCGGAGCACTTAATGTACGTACATTGTGTCAAATAGGGCAACAGGCTTCATTAGCTAGGACTTTAGAATCTCGCTCCATCGATGTGTGCTGCGTATCCGAAACGCGCATACAGGATCCGAGTAGCATCATTCACTTGACCTCGCCATGTCAAGATAAAGAAGCAGCTAGATTTACTCTTCGTGTATCTGGAAGCCTTGATGCTGCTTTCAGGGGTCTTGCTGGTGTAGGTATAGCAATGAGTCCTAGGGCAGAAATAGCTCTCCTAGACTGGATCCCAGTAGATATTCGCTTGTGGGCTGTCCGACTATACAGGACAGTAAGGGCTCGGAAAGATAGGGACACTCGTCGTTGCCGCTTCGTCATATCAGTGTACGCCCCCACTGACTGCAGTCCAGACGACGTAAAAGATGAGTTTTACAGAAAGCTTTCGGAACTCCTCCAAAAAGTTGAGCGCTCTGATATAGTTATAATGGCTGGTGACTTCAATGCTCAAGTAGGTAGACTAAGTGAAAATGAAAGACACCTTGGTGGATGTTATGGTGTCGCGGCTGAGAGAACAGACAATGGCGACCGTCTGTTGCAACTGACATGACATCTACACTGTCAACCGTTTTTTTCTCACTTTGTTAAATACTGGCAAAAGGTTAATCTATCTATGAAATGTTCACTTAATTTCTAAATTACACAAATGATAGAAAAATCCTTCATCTATACAACTTAGAGAATGAAACTCTATCATGAATCCTTCGTCTAAATGAAATATATAATCTGGAATATTTCCACAAAAAAATGAATAAAAGTACTCGCAGAGAAACTTCGAAGACTTTGGCACGACACCTAGACGATTTGTAGGCCCGTTCTAATGAGGAGTCCTCCTACTGGGACGAAACAACTGTCCAATAACTCCTGTTAGTCAGTCAGTCAACTACAACGTAGAACTTCGTACGTAAGTACATCAGTTCAGGTTGCCATACCACATTAGCACAGAGAAGCAACTGTCAGTTCGAATCCCATAGTGGTAGCGATAGTAGAAGTATTAACAATAATGGAGAAGATTAGGGTTCGAAGATATGATTCAGTGAGAAAACTCTAGAAAGAGAAAGCTAGAGATGATGAGGAATTCAGAAGGTTAGAATTAGAGAGAACACAATGAATAAATTCACCTGCGCCATTGCAAACGCTTCTAAGCCATGTCATTCAAGGTCTCTAACCATCGGTGACTTTCATCTCGCGGACCCCAACCAAGTAGTCTGCACCTACCAACATGACTCAGTCTACTTGTCAGTGACTTCATGGATTTGTGCCATGTTTTGATTTGGCCGCTCCTAGCTTTCGTCCAACTTACTCTTACACCGCGAAACATCGCTCGTCGAGGCAGTCGGTGGTTGGGCATTCGTAACACATGTCCCAACCACATCAACTGATGAAGTTTCACTACTTCATCTATTGGTCTGCTACCTTCGTCTAGTACTCCTGTTAGTTGGAATAGGAATCCATATTTTAAGTTATTCACTAATGGAATAGAAATCTCCCTGCTTGTATGTTTTAATTAGCATTGCTACGTGGCCAGAACAGCCTTATTAGACAATCTGTTTTATTGTTGAGCTAATTAGTATAAACCATTGTGCACTATTCCCCTACAAATGATTCTCCAGGCAGTTTTGAAGTATTCAGAAGATATATAAAGAATCCAAAAAGTTTATTCCAATTTCAGTCGACATAGTTAGTTGTTAATATAATTATCTCTAGTTTATCCTTGGGAACAAATTCTGCATCTTAGATAAATTAATTATTGCCAGTAGCGAACACAGGAGCAATTAATGGGAGTCCGTTAAAAATGTCTTGACTGCGATAAGGCGAGGGCTGAGGGTGAACCTTATATCCCGGATGGATAAAAATTATATTGCGGGACCAGGGTATATTCTTTGTACCTATTAAATGGCCTTTGAAGAAGACTTCCCTAGATATTATTGGATTCGGCATGTACAAGAGTAACTATTCTTAAAAGTGATCGTCTTCGCTATTATTCCTCTTCACTAACTTTTCTACCTCACCTCTGCAGCTTCATAATTTTTAAAATGTTACTCATCTTGTGTTAGGGAAGTTACATCCCCAGAACTCACTTGGAAGGTCTTAATTTTGTGATTTATTTCTGAAGTTTTAAATCTTTTATGTTTTCGCGCATAAGACGCTTAATTGACCTTCAGCTTACATTTCCCACTCGGAAAATCCTTGACTGTCATTGGTTGATGGATTATTTTAGTACGCAATTTTGTGGCTCTTCCAACGGCGTTTTTATGATTGTGTAGCACCTCACATATATCTTGTACTTTTATCATTGTTCAGCTTGTATGCGCATGTACGTAGTTAGGCATTACTTGCCACCTGCACACATAGTTATTTGACTAGCTGTATCAATTAACAGGTTGAATAATTCGATGTCAATATCGACTATACATATTTGAATAATAATGAAATTGTGGCAACGACTCGTGTTCTCTCGTAGCGAGCGATCATCAAGACGGAGATATACTGGGAATCGAAGATAACGAAAGTCTAACGCCCCCAATAACTTGGTGAGCCCGACGTGATTCGAACACGCAAGTAATGCCCAAGCGTACATGCGCAAACAAGCTCAACAATGATAAAAGTACAAGAGATATATGTGAGGTGCTACAATTGTATAAATAAGCTTGAGTTGTGTTCTTATCAACCTCAAATTCTCTGGTGCTTGTAGAATACACTCTCTACACCATATCAAAACTTCTTGATCTAGGTAGTAGGGCCGGGGACAATCATGTCACTGAGTGATTACTCTTCGTTCCGTTTACCAAGTAAGGTGGATTCGTAATAACACATTCAAGCATATCATTTGGCGAAAGTGGTTTTTGGGAACATGGATCCTGCCAAACTTGAATTATTACTTAAGCACCAACTGAAACTAATGCAGATATTGACACATATCAAGATTTCCACGTCCACACAGCCTAGCACATCGAATCAGTCAGTCAGTCAGTCAGTTGCAACGTAGAACTTCGTACGTAAGTACATCAGCTCATGTCGCCATACCACATCAGCACAGAGATATAATTGTCAATTCAAATCCAATAGTAGAAGAGGTAGTAAAGGTATTAGAAGTAATCGGAGAGGTTAGAATTAGAAGATATTATTCACGAAGTATGATTCAATGAGATAAGTTTAGAAAGTAAACACTAGAGATGTTGAAGAATCCAGAAGATTAGGATTTGAGAGAACACAAAGAATAAATGCACTGGCGCCATTGCGAACGATTTTGAGCCATGTCATTCAAGGTCTCTAACCATCGATTATTATCATCTCGCGGACCCCAACCAGGTAGTCGACAATTACCGACATGGCTCAGTCCACTCGTCAATGACTTCATGGATTTATGCCATGTTTTGGTCTGGCCGCCCCTAGCTTTCTTCCAACCTATTCCTACACTACAAAACAAAGCTCGACGAGGCAGTCGGTGGTTAGGCATACGCAACACGTGTCCCAACCACCTCAACTGATGAAGTTTCAGTACTTCATCTATTGATCTGCCATCCTTACCTAGTACCCGTTTCCTAATAACAGCGTTGCTCACTCGGTTGTCCCACGATATACGAGCAATGCTTCGAAGACATCTATGATCGAAAACCAATAACCGACGAGTATCTTCTACTCTCATTGGCCATGTTTCACAGCCATAAAGTAAGACGGAGCGAACCACTGCGCAGTACACTCGTCCTTTAGTCAGCAAACGGATATCTCGCCTACGCCATAAGTGACGCAGGTTGGCAAAAGCCAATCGAGCCTTCTGTATCCGTGCCGAGATTTCGTCAGTCACCAGGCCATCAGCACTGATGAGACTCCCAAGATAAGTGAAGCGGTCTACACGTTCGACCACTTCACTCCCTATCGAATACAACCACAGCATTAAAATAAACTTATGTGTAATACGTGCAAATCACGTGGTTACAACACTGATTAATTCGAATAATGAAATCCTACAAGTAGCAGCAGGAGTCGTTGATGTACACACTTTTACTGATGAGTCACAACACCAGGACGAAATGACCATTCTAATGCATACATTTCTAATGCTGATGATAGTCTCTAACAATGATTCATTCATAATTTCAATCAATACAAAATTAACTAACCAATAGAATAAACTTGTTCTGGAGTTAAAGTTCGTCCAAATTTTTTAGGCAATTTAATTAAACAATGATTTGTTGTATCAGAAATCTATGAAAAATAAAAACAAAATTGAAACAACTAAGCACAGTAAAACAAAGCAGTTACACATTGATCAATTTACAATATGGTAGGTAGTAGGCAGAGTAAATGAAGAAAACATTCATCTGTTAACATTTTTTAAATTCTCTTGACTTGATAATTTAATTAGTTAGTTGGTTGGAAGGAACTAATGACACTGTAAAAATTAACAATCAATTGTAAAAGTCATTTGCAAATGTACTACCACTATCACTGACAAAGAGAACTATTTTGTATGGTAGAATTGGTGTATAATGAGAAAGTTTATAGACAGGGAGGCAGGTGCACAAAATTAGAACATTGAACCTTGTTAAATTAGAATCACAATCGTCACAACAATAACAACAACAACATTGATATCAGGACAACGAGAAGAAAATAAATATCACTGCAAAAAGCCAATACAAATTACTAAAAGTAGTAATGTGTGTCGGTCGATCGGTCAATCGATCGATCGATCAATAAAGCAGTCATTCATAGACCAACGACTTGTTATCTCATCTCATTGTCTAAGTATGGTAGATTTAATTTTCAGCATTGTTCCATTCGATAATTTCAACATGTAGACAAGCAATAATACGAAGGTAATTTTAATGATCAAACTTACAAATATCTCCTAGTTTTGAAAATATATCATTGTTTGACAGTTATATAATAGATTACAAAGTGAACAGCAGAGACTGGATAATGATTTGGTTGAATAATATCAGTCAGTCAGATGCAACGTAGAACTTCGTACGTAAGTACATCAGCTCATGTCGCCATACCACATCAGCACAGAGATGTAATTTTCAATTCAAATCCCATAGTAGTAGAAGAGGTAGTAAAGGTATTAGAAGTAATCGGAGAGGTTAGGATGAGAAGATATTATTCGAGAAATATGATTCAGTGAGATAAGTTTAGAAAGTCAAAACTAGAGGGGTTGAATAAACCAGTAGATTAGGATTTGGGAGAACATAAACAGTAAATGCACCGGCGCCATTGCGAACGATTTTGAGCCATGTCATTCAAGGTCTCTAGCCATCGATTATTATCATCTCGCGAACCCCAACCAGGTTGTCGACAATTACCGACATGGCTAAGTCCACTCGTCAATGACTTCATGGATTTCTGCCATCTAGAATACTTTCGAATGAATACAATTTTCCTGTGTAATAAAAGCATTAGTAAAGCTTACTTACGATGTAACTATGAGGATCATATCCACCTCCCCCGACCTAGTAGCAAGCACACAACAAATTGAAAAAAACTAATGATATGATTAGTCTCATAACCTATCCAACTGTTGAGGTGGTTAAGACATGTGTTACAAATGCCCAACCACCGACTGCCTCGATGAGTTGTTTTCTGGTGTGGGAGTAGGTTGTTAGAAAGCTAGGGACGGCCAGATCAAAACATGGCACAAATTCATGAAATCACTGACAAATGGACTGAGTCATGTTGGTAGGTGCAGGCTACCTGTTTGGGGTCCGCGAGACATTAGTAACCTACGGTTAGAGACCTTGAACGACATGGCTCAGAATCGTTTGCAATGGCGCAAGTGCGTTCATTGTTACTCTTCTCTCAAATTCTAACCTGAATTGCTCGTCACTTTCACCTTTCTCTTTTTAAGTTTATTTCACCAGATAATATCTTCGAACCTTAATCTCTCAGATTACTGCTAATACTTCTACTATCTCTACCACTATGGAATACAAGCTGACAATTGCGTCTCTGTGCTAATGTGGTATGGCAACTTGAACTGATGGTGTTAATTACACTCGAAAAGTCATCATGACGATAATGTACAACTTACCTGCATACCAGATAACACAAATCCTAATTTACGACGCCATACATATTTAAGTTGTTCACGAGAGATTTTCTCTTGTGGTGTACCTGGAAAGTAAGTGACTGTACCCATTTTGAAATCGCATATATTTGGTTGTTTGAAATCAGCCACCAGATCAGATAAACCCATGTAGTAGGCTGTTGTAACGGATTATAGAACCAAAAAAATAAACAAGCAATAAATTAACGCATTATTACAGACTTAACCAGTTCAGTAGTAATAGCCTAGGGTAATACCAGGGATTTTACTCGTCAATTAACAACATCCTCGATGTAGGATGTTACTTGGTATAACTTTGAAAACTCTTACTAATGAATCGACAAAGATACCTTGCTAGAGCACCATTAAAAACTTTGGAGCGCTCCATGGCTATTTCGGATTGGTATGAGACTCATCAGCAGTGAGCATCCACGACCCCAGCCACTCGCATGATTCGAACTCAGGACCTTCGATCTTGTACAAGAAGGCCTAATCTCTGAAATACCGCGCTTGAATCCAACGGTGTTATTGTCTAACTTTAATCAATCTAGGGATTTCGTGCAACCTCACACATTTGTCTGCGGTAGTTACTGCCTATAACCGACAGGGATGAGCGTCACTGAGCGTCACTAGAACTCCTAGAATCTCCTCATGAAGCTAGACAGTACTAGTGAGCACATCCATGATTTTAGCAAAAAACAAACAATTTCCATAACTCTATTATGAAGAACATTTCACGTTCTAATGATGAAAGTTATTTTGGAGCAGTTTGAAATACTATTTAATGTCTTGATCATAAAACATGATCAGTATTGAAGGATAAATCAAGAAGATTCTTATGGAGAATTTACGTAAATCTTAATGGTCTGACCGTTGTAAATTTTAGTTATTTGAGTTAATTGAACTATATATCGTCCACTTTGAATTCACATTCTTATTTAGGAAGATTCAAATGAAATATCATAGTCATTAAATGTTTGACAGTAGAAGAACTCAACGAAGATCAAGCAAATGCTCAGATTGGAATTAGATATAGCATGGTTCGCACAAGAAATAACCAGTATCATTAAACAGATATACATTTTTACCTTTCGTTCCTGGACATTGATAAACTCCATAATAAGTTGGAATAAATTGACGAACACGTTTCAATGCTTCCGAAGCATCCGGTGAAAATACACGCTGGTAAAACATCACTTCACGCATACCTCTTTCACGATCTTGTAATGACTTGTAAATAATTGGTTTGGATTTATCTCGAAGTACTAGAGAGAAGTTGAAAATACCATCGGAAATTAGATAAATTAATTTTAAGTTTGATAGTTACACATCTTAACAGTATAAAAGTATATATGACATGTCCATAGTTAAGAGATAAACGTTTATCGGAGTACCTGCGCTGCGTGTGGTTAACACTGTTTAGTGTCTAAATCAGTGATTACAAAATCTATGATTAGAGTACAGATGTTTATAACATCCACTTTAACTTATACTTGTCTTAAGAATAGTCACACTATTCGAAGATTGGACGAGTCAAAAGCAGCATGATTCGAGCTTGTGACCTATTACTCGGTAGTCAACTTCATTATAACCACCGAATAATTGTCAAATTTCTTGGTATGATTCATATAGCGAATGAATCTGTATGCAATCAGTGAGTTTCAGAACCTCTATGTAGTCTGAAACATGTCATGGATTGTTCTCAGTTGATTATTCCATACTCATTCCACTGACACACCATTATTCTGTAACTTTCAACGAACCACAAGTCACACGGTGAGCAATGTAAGAACACAGTTTCCACAAAAATATCTAAAATCATCAAATCCTCACACTCAGCTACTTACTCCGAAAATTAAAGCATTCATCTTGTAGAAATAAAGTGAAGCCGATCAGATATGAATTATCTAACAATAATGCTTACAAGTTTGTAAATAATAGTCTAACAGTCAACAACCACTGGTATAAAACAACTTACTTTCAAAACTACTAGCATTCTCACGAGAATGACCAGCCACTTGAAATGCATAGGATTCTGTACATGTAGGTAAAGGGGGAACATCACCAAACACCATCGATGAATCTGATGAACAAGTAGATGGTTTTCTTAGAGTCCTACAATGAAAGCCAATGTGCAATATGAATATTACTACCTTACAAAAGTGTGTTCATTAACACAACGCATGACATGCGACGTAGGACCTAGCACAAGCGTAGATTGAAATAAATTTGAGAGATACTATGTGTTTATGAGTTAAAAATACTATATCTGATAATCGGAACTTAAAGAGTATAGCAAACCATTCCAAAATCTGAAAACGAGCGAAATTTCTGTAAAGTAGTGGTTTATTGAAGCTTAATACTAGGAGAAATAGTGTATGTGATTGAACTGACTCAGTTAGATTTCATTTAGCCCAAGTATCATCAAGAGTAATAACGGCTTCTGCACTTGATATATATATATATATATATATATATATATATATATATATATATATATATATATATATATATATATATATATATATATATATATATAATGTATATATATACCCATACTAAAAGGGAAGTCTGTCAGTCCACACTGCCTTCACCTATTAGAGGATAATATATAGCGTTGTGATGAGTGCGAGTATTGATACCATGAAATCTGGACGAAATTCGTATCAGTTAGATATAAAAGGTGAAGTGGAACGCAGTGTGTATGGCTTTGTTCACAAAATGAACTAAATGCAGACCACCTTCCATCGGACTCTACTTTGCTTTCAAAGCTTGCTGCAAAAGAGCATTGCATAGAAAGACAAGAAAGATATCAACATCAATAAATATGAAGAAACAAAATTGTTAAAAAATCAGTCGACATATAGCGGATCTGTCTTCAATAGTTATACTGTAGTCCTGTCGCCATATTAGCTAGGGAGATTAAATCCGTCTTAAGTCAACCAGACAAGTGAAATTCAAACATACAATATTAAATGTAGTTACTAAGAGGCAAATTGAACTCTTAAAAGGCATATGTAATGGGTAAATCAATGACATCAAGGATGAAAATGGTGGTGAACGCGGAAACCAGTTCTTTTACATTAAACAAACGGGGTACCATAATGTAATGGACTAACTTAAAGGACGAGACAGGAAAACGGGGAGATAAGGTTTCTTCAGCTAATTCTGAAGAATTGCTAAGGTGCACGTGTGTCTCAGTAACATCCAAATCTCAAAACTTTGGTTGCGACTTCGAAGAAAAACCCGGAATTTTGGAGGAATCCCACGATATTAATAGAAATTTTTTGGTTGCATTTTCACAAAGTGGACTATGGGAACTTTCTGAAAATTTCCCCAAAATCGATGAAATATTACCCGAAGTTAGGAAACCGGGATAGTCCTACACACAAAGTTATTTCCTACTCCAAACTCCTAGCGTATTAGCTTTATAACTTCAAAAAAAACTAAGTTACGTAAATTTGAAACCTGCTTACTATGTAACGAAAGATAAGGAAAGAAAAAATTATACACCGAATCCCATTGTACTTTTTATGCAGATTATTAAATATTTTTAGTAAGGCAGGCACAGAAATTATATCTGGAAATAAAAACGATTGGTATGTCTTACCATGGCCAAACTTTTCGAAGTCTGGCCTTTATTATATCGGACATATAAGTAGCGCACCATTTTGAGGAGCCACGTTCTTAATGATAATCTTCCAATGTCCAAGATCTTTCTCACGAGCAAGTTTAAAACATTTGATTTTTTTGTCCTCTTCTTTTTATTTCAGTACGGTTCCAGGTATTTGGCAATAACCTATCGATGGTAGTCTAGCCACTCGACTGCACTAATTCCAGTCAGTTGGCAGCTCTCTGTGAATTTGTATGCCCCGTGATTTGAGTGAGTGCGTTTATCTTTAGGCAGTAACGTTTCTGGATATCAGCAGCTTTCCCGTTACCAGGCCGGAGATCAGTTAATTACAATGTGGAAAATAAGCAGGAAAAAGTTTTAATGCTAATGAGATTTCAGAACTGAGTAAATAGTGAAATAAGTCAACTAATTTGTAGTGAAGATCGTGTAGAAGGACAGAGGTGTAAGGATATAGGAACGAACAGAGATAATAAGCAAGATCGAATGAACTATTGATCTGAGGAATTAACAGTGTTAATAATAAGCAGCTTTTGAGACATAAAGAAAGTGCAGCTGGTCCAAGCAGGAGATGGTAATCCTTTTGAGTCAGTGTTTGTCAAGTCTTGTCTCGAAATTATTCGCGGAAGGGGAAGAATTCATTTTGTCTGGGAGAGCATTTTTTTCTCGTGACTACTATTGATGAGAAAAAGTATGTGCTTAGCTGAGTGTTTGCTCTTTGATGTGCAGTTTTTTAATGGTTACCTCGAGAGGCGTGGTGCTGATGTTTTGGCAAGATGTTCGTTTTGGGATGGCTCAGCTTACTTAATTTGTTGCATGCCACTATCAGATCACCTCAGTTTCTCCAATAAGTTAGAGGGGGTAATCCTTAGTGTTGGAATCTGTCTTCGTATGGTTTATTCTTCAACCTTGTTACCCATTTGGTTGCCCATCTCTGCACTGGATCAAGCACATTTATGTCTTCTATTAGGAGCGGTGGTGTAACGACATTGTGAGCTTCAAGGTTCGGCCGTGGGTTTGTGGTAAAAAGAGTGATTAATTGAATCAAGTTGATTTCCCATAAAATGAAGAGTTGCGTCGGCCTTCAGCTTGTAGTTCGAAGTTTTGTTCAGGCTATGTAATTATTGGTCCGAGATCTTAAGACAATGAACGTCCAAAAGAAGAGCCAAGATGAAAGAGGATCAATGGGGTCCATGAGGAATATTATATGAACCGGAATTTTTCTATCTCGGCTGACTGACCAGCTGTCTCATGCTATGAGAGAACTAGATGCCCATGACCTACCTTTCCTAAACCTATGCTGGGCTTCTTGAGGGATGTTGCCTTTATCCATATCATCTCTGAATGGTTCATTCAACAGTCCTCCTATTGCTTTCGTTAGTATTGGCAGTAATGTCTTTAGAAGGATCTTTTGCATCTCTCCACGAGAAGATTGGGGAAAGTAGCTCGTTTCTGTTCAGCTGGTGCAATTCCAGCGAATGGATAATCAGGTGATTCCGCGCACTGTTTCATTGTAATAGGGCAGATATTTTCACCTCCAGCTGACTTTCCTGGGCACATGGATTTTAGGTTTCCTAGTGCCAAATCGAAAGTAAGTCGGATATTCCCTAGGCCATCAGCTGGCATTAGGTTTGAGTAGTACTTTGGGCTTGTAGGTACCTGGTTTGACTGATAGATGCAGTTGGCATTAAAGGGCCCAGCCACCTGTTGGTTGGTAAGGTCTTCTGCACTTGAATCTGTGAGGGCACCAACACCGTGGTTCGTAGGTTTTCGCTTGCTCATGAACTTTAAGAGATATTTCCGCTTTGTCTGTCTCTTCAGACTCAATTAAGTAGAAATCAGTAATCGTTAGTGTTTCAGGATAAGAATCTGAACTGAAGATAGTACTGAAATAAGAAAATAATCAATATTTGTATTCATCTCTTGAGGGTATGAAAGAAATCAGTTCGTGGACGGAGCATTACAGGTTGATTCAAATAAAGGAACAGTCGGGGAAGCCCAACGAACATCTGGGATGCAGTCTGCACAACTTATAATCAATTAACCGAAGAGATTGTTCTCGTACATCAATTTCAGGACCAGAACCTTGCACTGGTTTTTACTTCCTACCGAGAAATCCTATTACAAGCTGGTCTGGACAACTATACTAAAAAAGAGCTCATTCATAACTTCTTGAACCTCAGAGTTAATAATAAAAAGAATAAATAAAACCACAAAATTATATCACTGATCCTCTTTATTATATTATGTAAATCAACTTTATTACTAACAACTTGGTTCTTCTGAATTTCCTCGATTCTTTCGACTAACTTCTCATTAGTTATCTCACTACTGAATTGTCTTCATTCACCTACATTAGCGCAGGTGTAGTGTTCTGATATTAAAAATGTTTGGGTAAACATACCTTTGTTTTATCCATAAACGTATGTGCGAAGCCGTTGTTCGGCTTTGAACATGAATATTTTCTGTTCTGCTCCTCGTCCCGTTTTCTTTATTCCTCTTTTTTCAGAACCTTATTCCAATCCACATATATTAGTCTGGATATTTGCAGTAGACTTGGTTACCCTACCCAAGAACATGTGAAATCATTAGCTGATGAATATCAACCAGACCTTTGTACATTTACCGCAATGTTTGTGTTTGCTTCTGAACTGTACATATGTTGTTTAAATTTGATATAATATGGCTACCGCCACATTTTTGGACGGACGCAGTGGCCGCTGGACTTAGCGTCACTTATTCGTTATTGTGTCTGATACTCTGCGGAGTAACCTTACCCTGGAAGAAGCACTATATCCAGACGTTTTCTCCTAGAATTTTGTCCTTTTGAATTGGTTGGGACCCGGAGCTGGGAGAAGCGTACAGGAGTGCCTCTATTGGAACCAATTGGGACGGCCACTGTAGAAATACATTTACAAAGGGCTTATAGTTTAATGGGGATTGTCTTGATTCTGTCCTATGAACCGGAGTGTCAGTTACATCCTTTCAACCAGTTAGCAATTCAGCTTGGTCAAGGACACATTAAAAGTCGTCTAAAATGCTTGGGACACTTATTATATCAACTTGATAGAAGTCCATAATTAGTAACCTAATTAGTGGTTTTGTATTTAGATTTGGTCCTTCGTCTAGAAGAGGCTCCTGAGTGGACACAGTACCGAAATAGCCCGCTTTGTCTTCTGATTTGCCCTGATCTTCCACTATCATCTGATATATAATAATTTTAGTACTTTGGCTAGGAGTCCAACAATATAATAATAATAATAATAATAATAATAATAATAATAATAATTTATTCTCAAATAACAAACATGTTACAAGAGACATGCCAATTTACAGGCAAGATCGAAATGTTAAGATTAGCAACATATTTTTTTAAAACGGTATAAAGTTACTGAAACATTTCACAAGATTCATTGTTTTCTTAAAGATGGAATGTACGAAGCGAGTAATTGGCGCGAGTTACGAAGGTTGCGTTACGACAATCATCTTATGGGCTGAGAAATGATTTATGGTACAGATGGGTTTTCATATAACACAAACATTGCGGTAAATGTACAAAGGTCTGGTTGATATTCATCAGCTAATGATTTCACATGTTCTTGGGTAGGGTAACCAAGTCTACTGCAAATATCCAGACTAATATATGTGGATTGGAATAAGGTTCTGAAAAAAGAGGAATAAAGAAAACGGGACGAGGAGCAGAACAGAAAATATTCATGTTCAAAGCCGAACAACGGCTTCGCACATACGTTTATGGATAAAACAAAGGTATGTTTACCCAAACATTTTTAATATCAGAACACTACACCTGCGCTAATGTAGGTGAATGAAGACAATTCAGTAGTGAGATAACTAATGAGAAGTTAGTCGAAAGAATCGAGGAAATTCAGAAGAACCAAGTTGTTAGTAATAAAGTTGATTTACATAATATAATAAAGAGGATCAGTGATATAATTTTGTGGTTTTATTTATTCTTTTTATTATTAACTCTGAGGCTCAAGAAGTTATGAATGAGCTCTTTTTTAGTATAGTTGTCCAGACCAGCTTGTAATAGGATTTCTCGGTAGGAAGTAAAAACCAGTGCAAGGTTCTGGTCCTGAAATTGATGCACGAGAACAATCTCTCCGGTTAATTGATTATAAGTTGTGCAGACTGCATCCCAGATGTTCGTCGGGCTTCCCCGACTGTTCCTTTATTTGAATCAACCTGTAATGCTCCGTCCACGAACTGATTTCTTTCATACCCTCAAGAGATGAATACAAATATTGATTATTTTCTTATTTCAGTACTATCTTCAGTTCAGATTCTTATCCTGAAACACTAACGATTACTGATTTCTACTTAATTGAGTCTGAAGAGACAGACAAAGCGGAAATATCTCTTAAAGTTCATGAGCAAGCGAAAACCTACGAACCACGGTGTTGGTGCCCTCACAGATTCAAGTGCAGAAGACCTTACCAACCAACAGGTGGCTGGGCCCTTTAATGCCAACTGCATCTATCAGTCAAACCAGGTACCTACAAGCCCAAAGTACTACTCAAACCTAATGCCAGCTGATGGCCTAGGGAATATCCGACTTACTTTCGATTTGGCACTAGGAAACCTAAAATCCATGTGCCCAGGAAAGTCAGCTGGAGGTGAAAATATCTGCCCTATTACAATGAAACAGTGCGCGGAATCACCTGATTATCCATTCGCTGGAATTGTACCAGCTGAACAGAAACGAGCTACTTTCCCCAATCTTCTCGTGGAGAGATGCAAAAGATCCTTCTAAAGACATTACTGCCAATACTAACGAAAGCAATAGGAGGACTGTTGAATGAACCATTCAGAGATGATATGGATAAAAGCAACATCCCTCAAGAAGCCCAGCATAGGTTTAGGAAAGGTAGGTCATGGGCATCTAGTTCTCTCATAGCATGAGACAGCTGGTCAGTCAGCCGAGATAGAAAAATTCCGGTTCATATAATATTCCTCATGGACCCCATTGATCCTCTTTCATCTTGGCTCTTCTTTTGGACGTTCATTGTCTTAAGATCTCGGACCAATAATTACATAGCCTGAACAAAACTTCGAACTACAAGCTGAAGGCCGACGCAACTCTTCATTTTATGGGAAATCAACTTGATTCAATTAATCACTCTTTTTACCACAAACCCACGGCCGAACCTTGAAGCTCACAATGTCGTTACACCACCGCTCCTAATAGAAGACATAAATGTACTTGATCCAGTGCAGAGATGGGCAACCAAATGGGTAACAAGGTTGAAGAATAAACCATACGAAGACAGATTCCAACACTAAGGATTACCCCCTCTAACTTATTGGAGAAACTGAGGTGATCTGATAGTGGCATGCAACAAATTAAGTAAGCTGAGCCATCCCAAAACGAACATCTTGCCAAAACATCAGCACCACGCCTCTCGAGGTAACCATTAAAAAACTGCACATCAAAGAGCAAACACTCAGCTAAGCACATACTTTTTCTCATCAATAGTAGTCACGAGAAAAAAATGCTCTCCCAGACAAAATGAATTCTTCCCCCTCCGCGAATAATTTCGAGACAAGACTTGACAAACACTGACTCAAAAGGATTACCATCTCCTGCTTGGACCAGCTGCACTTTCTTTATGTCTCAAAAGCTGCTTATTATTAACACTGTTAATTCCTCAGATCAATAGTTCATTCGATCTTGCTTATTATCTCTGTTCGTTCCTATATCCTTACACCTCTGTCCTTCTACACGATCTTGACTACAAATTAGTTGACTTATTTCACTATTTACTCAGTTCTGAAATCTCATTAGCATTAAAACTTTTTCCTGCTTATTTTCCACATTGTAATTAACTGATCTCCGGCCTGGTAACGGGAAAGCTGCTGATATCCAGAAACGTTTCTGCCTAAAGATAAACGCACTCACTCAAATCACGGGGCATACAAATTCACAGAGAGCTGCCAACTGACTGGAATTAGTGCAGTCGAGTGGCTAGACTACCATCGATAGGTTATTGCCAAATACCTGGAACCGTACTGAAATAAAAAGAAGAGGACAAAAAAAATCAAATGTTTTAAACTTGCTCGTGAGAAAGATCTTGGACATTGGAAGATTATCATTAAGAACGTGGCTCCTCAAAATGGTGCGCTACTTATATGTCCGATATAATAAAGGCCAGACTTCGAAAAGTTTGGCCATGGTAAGACATACCAATCGTTTTTATTTCCAGATATAATTTCTGTGCCTGCCTTACTAAAAATATTTAATAATCTGCATAAAAAGTACAATGGGATTCGGTGTATAATTTTTTCTTTCCTTATCTTTCGTTACATAGTAAGCAGGTTTCAAATTTACGTAACTTAGTTTTTTTTTTGAAGTTATAAAGCTAATACGCTAGGAGTTTGGAGTAGGAAATAACTTTGTGTGTAGGACTATCCCGGTTTCCTAACTTCGGGTAATATTTCATCGATTTTGGGGAAATTTTCAGAAAGTTCCCATAGTCCACTTTGTGAAAATGCAACCAAAAAATTTCTATTAATATCGTGGGATTCCTCCAAAATTCCGGGTTTTTCTTCGAAGTCGCAACCAAAGTTTTGAGATTTGGATGTTACTGAGACACACGTGCACCTTAGCAATTCTTCAGAATTAGCTGAAGAAACCTTATCTCCCCGTTTTCCTGTCTCGTCCTTTAAGTTAGTCCATTACATTATGGTACCCCGTTTGTTTAATGTAAAAGAACTGGTTTCCGCGTTCACCACCATTTTCATCCTTGATGTCATTGATTTACCCATTACATATGCCTTTTAAGAGTTCAATTTGCCTCTTAGTAACTACATTTAATATTGTATGTTTGAATTTCACTTGTCTGGTTGACTTAAGACGGATTTAATCTCCCTAGCTAATATGGCGACAGGACTACAGTATAACTATTGAAGACAGATCCGCTATATGTCGACTGATTTTTTAACAATTTTGTTTCTTCATATTTATTGATGTTGATATCTTTCTTGTCTTTCTATGCAATGCTCTTTTGCAGCAAGCTTTGAAAGCAAAGTAGAGTCCGATGGAAGGTGGTCTGCATTTAGTTCATTTTGTGAACAAAGCCATACACACTGCGTTCCACTTCACCTTTTATATCTAACTGATACGAATTTCGTCCAGATTTCATGGTATCAATACTCGCACTCATCACAACGCTATATATTATCCTCTAATAGGTGAAGGCAGTGTGGACTGACAGACTTCACTTTTAGTATGGGTATATATATACATTATATATATATATATATATATACATATATATATATATATATATATATATATCAAGTGCAGAAGCCGTTATTACTCTTGATGATACTTGGGCTAAATGAAATCTAACTGAGTCAGTTCAATCACATACACTATTTCTCCTAGTATTAAGCTTCAATAAACCACTACTTTACAGAAATTTCGCTCGTTTTCAGATTTTGGAATGGTTTGCTATACTCTTTAAGTTCCGATTATCAGATATAGTATTTTTAACTCATAAACACATAGTATCTCTCAAATTTATTTCAATCTACGCTTGTGCTAGGTCCTACGTCGCATGTCATGCGTTGTGTTAATGAACACACTTTTGTAAGGTAGTAATATTCATATTGCACATTGGCTTTCATTGTAGGACTCTAAGAAAACCATCTACTTGTTCATCAGATTCATCGATGGTGTTTGGTGATGTTCCCCCTTTACCTACATGTACAGAATCCTATGCATTTCAAGTGGCTGGTCATTCTCGTGAGAATGCTAGTAGTTTTGAAAGTAAGTTGTTTTATACCAGTGGTTGTTGACTGTTAGATCACTATTTGTAAACTTGTAAGCATTATTGTTAGATAATTCATATCTGATCGGCTTCACTTTATTTCTACAAGATGAATGCTTTAATCTTCGGAGTAAGTAGCTGAGTATGAGGATTTGATGATTTTAGATATTTTTCTGGAAACTGGGTATCTTACATTGTTCACCGAGTGACTTGTGGTTCGTCGAAAGTTACAGAATAATGGTGTGTCAGTGGAATGAGTATGGAATAATCAACTGAGAACAATCCATAACATGGGTCTGATTGCATACAGACTCACTTTCTGTATGAATCATACCAAGAAATGTGACAATTATTCGGTGGTTATAATGAAGTTGACTGCCGAGTGGTAGGTCACAAGTTCGAATCCTGCTGCTTTTGGCTCGTCCAATCTTCGAATAGTGTGACTATTCTTGAGACAAGTATAAGTTAAAGTGGATGTTATAAACATCTGTACTCTAATCATAGATTTTGTAACCACTGATTTATACACTAAACAGTGTTAACCACTCGCAGCGCAGGTACTCCGATAAACGTTTATCTCTTAACTATGAAAATGTCATCTATACTTTTATACTGTTAAAATATGTAACTATCAAACTTAAAATTAATTTATCTAATTTCCTATGGTATTTTCAACTTCTCTCTAGTACTTCGTGATAAATCCAAACCAATTATCTACAAGTCATTACAGGATCGTGAAAGAGGTATGCGTGAAGTGATGTTTTATCAGCGTGTATTTTCACCGAATGCTTCGGAAGCATTGAAACGTGTTCGTCAATTTATTCCAACTTATTATGGAGTTTATCAATGTCCAGGAACGAAAGGTAAAAATGTTTATATGTTCAATGATATTGATTATTTCTTGTGCGAACGTTGCTATATCTAATTCTGTTTGAGCATTTGCTTGATCTCCGTTGAGTTCTTCTACTGTCAAACATTTAATGACTATGATATTTCATTTGAATCTTCGTAACTAAGAATGAGCATTGAAAGTGGACGATATATGTTTCAATTAAGTCAAATAACTAAAATTTTCAACAGAACGACCTTTAAGATTTATGTAAATTTTCGATAAGAATCTTCTCCATCTCACCTTCAATGCTGATTGGTTAAAGAGGCACTAATCAATGAATTCCCTTGCAAATTATTACTGATTATGTTTTATGATCAAGATACTGAATAGTATTCGAAATTGCCCAAAAATAACTTTCATCATTAAAACGTGAAATGTTCTTCATAATAGAGTTATAGAGATTGTTGTTTATTGCTAAAATCATGGATGTGCTCACTAGTACTGTCTAGCTTCATGAGGAGATTCTAGGAGTTTTAGTGAGAAGACGTGACCAGTAGAGCTCATCCTTGTTGGTTATAGGCAGTAACTACCGCAGAAAAATGTGTGGGGTTGCACAAAATCCCTAGATTGAGTTAGACAATAACACCGTTGGATTCAAGCGCGGTATTTCAGAGATTAGGCCTTCTTGTACAAGATCGTAGGTCCTGAGTTCGAATCATGCGAGTGGCTGGGGTCGTGGATGCTCACTGCTGATGAGTCTCATACCAATCTGAAATAGCCATGGAGTGCTTACAGGCTTTTATTGGTGCTCTAGCAAGGTATCTTTGTCGATTCATTAGTAACAGTTTTCAAAGTTATATCAAGTAACATCCTACATCAAGGATGTTGTTAATTGACGAGTAAAATCCCTGGTATTACCCTAGGCTATTACTACTGAACTGACAAGTCTGTAACAATGCATTAATTTATTGCTTGTTTATTTTTTTGTCTCTATAATTTGTTACAACAGCTTACTATATGGGTTTATCTGATCTGGTGGCTAATTTCAAACAACCAAATATATGCGATTTCAAAATGGGTACAGTCACTTACTTTCCAGGTACACCACAAGAGAAAATCTCTCGTGAACAACTTAAATATGTATGGCGTCGTAAATTAGGATTTGTGTTATCTGGTATGCAGGTAAGTTGTACATTATCGTCATGATGACTTTTCGAGTGTAATTAACACCTATAAGAAAAACGATTCACATAGGGACTTATCCTTTTTTTACTTGTTCTACAATAGTCGGTCCAACCAGCTACAACGTAGAACTTCATACGTACGCACGTACATCATTTCAAGTTGCCATACCACATTAGCACAGAGACGCAATTGTCAGATCGCATTCCATGGTGATAGAGATAGTAGAAGTATTAGTAGTAATCTGAGGAGATTAGGGTTCGAAAATATTATTCAAGAAGTATAATCCGGTGAAATAAACTTTAAAAGAGGAAGGTGAAGGTGATGAGCAATTCAGTAGATTAGAATTTGAGAGAACACAATGAATGGATGCACCTGAGCCATTGAGAACGATTTTGAGACCTATCATTCAAGGTCTCTCTAACCATCGATTACTATCATCTCGCGGACCCCAACCAAGTAGTCTATATTTACTAACATAACTCAATTCAGTTGTCAGTGATTTCATGGATTTGTGCCATGTTTTGGTTTGGCCGTCCCTAGCTTTCTAACAACCTAGTCCTACAGCAAAAAAACGACTCGTCGAGGCAGTCGGTGCTTGGGCATTTGTAGCATGTCTTAACCACCTCAACAGTTGGATAGGTTATGAGACTAATCATCTCATTAGCTTTTTTCAATTTGTTGTGTGCTTGCTCGGTTACAGAAGGCTCGATTGGCTTTTGCCAACCTGCGTCACTTATGGCGAAGGCGAAATATCCGTTTGCTGACTAAAGGACGAGTGTACTGTGCAGTGGTTCGCTCCGTCTTACTTTATGGCTGTGAAACATGGCCAGTGAGAGTAGAAGATATTCGTAGGTTACTGGTTTTCGATCATAGATGTCTTCGAAGCATTGCTCGTATATCGTGGGACACCCGAGTTAGCAACGCTGTTATTAGGAATCGGGTGCTAGGTAAGGATGGCTGGTCATTAGATGAAGAAGTGAAACTTCACCATTTGAGGTGGTTGGGACATGTGTAACGGATGCCCAACCACCGACTGCCTCGTCGAGCTTTGTTTTGTAGTGTAGGAATAGGTTGGAAGAAAGTTAGGGGTGGCCAAACCAAAACATGGTAGAGATCCATGAAGTCATTGACGAGTGGACTTGGCCATGCCGGTAATTGTCGACTACCTGGTTGGGGTCCGCGAGATGATAATAATCGATGGTTAGAGACCTTGAATGACATGGCTCAAAGTCGTTTGCAATGGCGCCAGTGCATTTATTCTTTGTGTTCTCTCAAATCCTAATCTTCTGGGTTCTTCAACCTCTCTAGTTTTGACTTTCTAAACTTTTCTCATTAAATCATACTTCTTGAATAATATTTTCTAATCCTAACCTCTCCGATTACTCCTAATACCTTTACTACCTCCACTACTATTGGATTTGAATTGACAATTATATCTCTGTGCTGATGTGGTATGGCGACATGAACTGATGTACTTACGTACGAAGTTCTACGTTGCATCTGACTGACTGACTGGTGTTTGCTTGCTACTAGGTTGAGGGAGGTGGATATGATCCTCATAGTTACATCGTAAGTAAGCCTTACTCATACTTTTATTACAAAGAAAAATTCTATTCATTCGAAAGTATTCGAGATGTCATAGGCTATGCTATATATTATTCAGCCAAATCATTATCCAATCTCAGCTGTTCACTTTGTATTCTATTATATAACTGTCAAACAATGATATATTTTCAAAACTAGAAGATATTTGTAAGTAACTACTAAAGTATTTGATCATTAAAAATACCTTCGTATTATTGCTTGTCTACATGTTGAAATTATCGAATGGAACAATGCTGAAAATTAAATCTACCATACTTAGACAATGAGATGAGATAACAAGTCGTTGGTCTATGAATGACTGCTTTATTGATCGATCGATTGACCGATCGACCGACACACATTACTACTTTTAGTAATTTGTATTGGCTTTTTGCATTGATATTTATTTTCTTCTCGTTGTCCTGATATCAATGTTGTTGTTGTTGTTATTGTTGTGACCAATGTGATCTAATTTAACAACTAGATAAAAGGTTCAATGTTCTAATTTTGTGCACCTGCCTCCCTGTCTGATATATATATGATGATGTTGATCAACATTTCTATAAACTTTCTCATTATACACCAATTCTACCATACAAAATAGTTGTCTTTGTCACCACACTGTGTAGTAGTGATAGTAGTGGTAGTACATTTGCAAATGACTTTTACAATTGATTGTTAATTTTTCCAGTGTCATTAGTTCCTTCCAACCAACTAACTAATTAAATTATCAATCAAGAGAATTTAAAAAATGTTAACAGATGAATGTTTTCTTCATTTACTCTGCCTACTACCTACCATATTGTAAATTGATCAATGTGTAACTGCTTTGTTTTACTGTGCTTAGTTGTTTCAATTTTGTTTTTATTTTTCATAGATTTCTGATACAACAAATCATTGTTTAATTAAATTGCCTAAAAAATTTGGACGAACTTTAACTCCAGAACAAGTTTATTCTATTGGTTAGTTAATTTTGTATTGATTGAAATTATGAATGAATCATTGTTAGAGACTATCATCAGCATTAGAAAGTATTGAATGGTCATTTCGTCCTGGTGTTGGGACTCATCAGTAAAAGTGTGTACATCCACGACTCCTGCTGCTAATTGTAGGATTTCATTATTCGAATTAATCAGTGTTGTAACCACGTGATTTGCACGTATTACACATAAGTTTATTAATGCTGTGGTTGTATTCGATGTGCTAGGCTGTGTGGACGTGGAAATCTTGAAATGTGTCAATATCTGCATTCGTTTCAGTTGGTGCTCAAGTAATAATTCAAGCTTGGAAGGATCCATGTCCCCAAAAACCACTGTCGCCAAATGATATGCTTGAATGTGTTATTACAAATCCACCTTACTTGGTAAACGGAACGAAGAGCAGTCACTCAGTGACACGATTGTCTGCGGCCCTACTAACTAGATCAAGAAGTTTTGATATGGTGTAGAGAGTGTATTCTATAAGCACCAGAAAATTTGAGATTGCTAAGAACATGATTCAAGCTTATTTATACAATTGTAACACCTCACATATATCTTGTACTTATATCATTGTTGAGCTTGTATACGCATGTACGCTTGGGCATTACTTGCGTGTTCAAATCACGTCGGGCTTACCAATTTATTGTGGCGTTAGACTTTCGTTATCTTCGATTCCCAGTATATCTCCATCTTGATGATCGCTCGCTACGAGAGAACACGAGTCGTTGCCACAATTTCTTTATTATTCAAATTATTTAACATGTAGCAATGCTAATTAAAACATACAAGTAGGGAGATTTCTATTCCATTAGCCAATAACTTAAAATGTGGATTCCTATTCCAACTAATAGGAGTACTAGACCGAGTTGGCAGACCAATAGATGAAGTAGTGAAACTTCATCAGTTGATGTGGTTGGGACATGTGTTACGTATGGCTAACCACCGACTGCCGCGACGAGCTATGTTTTGTGGTGTAGGAGTAAGTTGGACGAAAGCTAGGAGCGGCCAAATCAAAACATGGCACAAATCCATGAAGTCACTGACGACTGGATTGAGTCATGTTGGAAGGTGCAGACTACTTGGTTGGGGTCACCGATCGTTAGAGAACTTGAATGACATGGCTCAGAATCGTTTGCAATGGCGCAGATGCATCCACTCTTTGTGTTCTCTCTAATTCTAACCTTCTGAATTCCGCATAATCTCTACCTTACTCCTCCTAAATTTATCATACTGAATTATGCTTCTCGAATCATATCTTCGCTCCCTAATCTTATCCATTACTGCTAATTCTTCTACTATCACCATCACTCTTGGATTTGCGTCTCTGTGCAGATGCGGTATGGCAACCTGACGTACGTATGTACGAAGTTCTACGTTGTAATTGACTGACTGACTGACTAACAGGAGTTATTGGACAGCTGTTTCGTCCCAGTACGAGGACTCCTCAGTAGAACGGGCCTACGAACCGTTTAGGTGTCCTGCCCTAAGTCTTCGAAGTTTCTCAGCGAGTACTTTTAATTATTTTTTTTGTGGAAATATGCCAGATTATATATTTCATTTAGATGAAGGATTCATGATAGAGTTTCATTCTCTAAGTTGTATAGATGAAGGATTTTTCTATCATTTGTGTAATTTAGAAATTAAGTGAACATTTCATAGATAGATTAACCTTTTGCCAGTATTTAACAAAGTGAGGAAAAAACGGTTGACAGTGTATATGTCATGTCAGTTGCAACAGACGGTCTCCATTGTCTGTTCTCTGAGCCGCGACACCATAACATCCACCAAGGTGTCTTTCATTTTCACTTAGTCTACCTACTTGTGCATTGAAGTCACCAGCCATTATAACTATATCAGATCGCTAAACTTTTTGAGGAGGTCCGAAAGCTTTCTGTAAAACTCATCTTTTACATCGTCTGAACTGCAGTCAGTGGGGGCGTAGGCTGATATGACGAATAGGCAACGACGAGTGTCCCTATCCTTCCGAGTCCTTGTTGTCCCGTTTAGCCGGACGGCGCACAAGCAACTATCTGCAGGGATTCAGTCTAGGAGAGCTAGTTCTGCCCTACGACTCAATGCTATACATACACCAGCGAGACCCCGTGAAGCAGCATCAGGGCTACCGGATACACGAAGGGTAAATCGAGTTGCTTCTTTATCTTGACATGCTGAGGTCAAGTGAATGATGCTACTCGGATCCTGTATGCGCGTTTCCGAGACGCAGCACACATCGATTGAGCGAGATTCTAAAGTTCTAGCTAATAAAGCCTGTTGCCCTATTTGACACAATATCCGTACGTTAAATGCTCCAACATGTAGTTTAGAACGAGGCTTCAAGAGACTGGGAATAACGTTTCGAGGACTCGAATCATTTGCAGCAGAGGTGCGGGGAGATAAAAGAATGTGAGTAGAGTTAGTCGTGGAGATAAGAGAGTGTGTAGGAAGGATTTGATTTTGACCAATTTGGTCTCTCGTGCTGTTATGGGTATGAGGACACCATGGAAGGGTGTTTCTCAAGGAACCTGAAAAGGAAGGTAGATTAATGTCGGTCTTGGAGACCTGGGAGTGTGACCACAGAGCCCAAGGGACAACTGTTTGAGGCCGGTCACGCACAGCCTTTTGACGGAAGGTTTTTTTAGTATTAGCTCCGCTCTTTTTAAAGCCCTTAATGGGCACCCTTACCGCTGGAGACGGAAATCCGTGAGGTAGGGTGGGGTGTGACATTTTTAGGGTCGACCTTTTCTAACCCTTCCTTCCTTGTGTGAAGGCAGCATCGCTGCAGATGCTGGTTGTCCGACGGAAACACCTTACTGCTGCTATCACACCCCTCTGCAGTCAGCAGTACGACTTCGCCCTAAGACCTTGCTTGAGTAGCTGCTTTTAGTCTCATCGTTCTCCAATCGACCTGCCTGGCATAGTAGAACCTTCAGGAACATAAGTTCCAGCCAATCTAGCTCAGTTGGGTCATCACGATAGACAAGCCTGACCACTAACACGTCAAGGTAGCTAGCTACGGTCGGTCTGGAGAGTTTGACCCATGGAATAATTTTCTCATATATATAAAAGTTGTTGTTTATATGTAATTTACATATTGTCCTGCTTTTTTTTTACTTTTTATAGTTGTCAAATCATTTCTAGGCACAGATCCAATGTATAGTGTTAAACTTGCACAAAATTATATCATACAACTTGGTCGTATTTTAAATTGGTATGTAGAATATGGTGCAAAAGAATTGACATTTTGTCGTTCTTCAATTCTCTTAATTCATGAATCATTACCAACTACTACTACTACTGATAATATAGATACTACTAGTAATAATGATAATAATAATAATCATAACCACTGTCCTCTCAAATCATCATCGTCGGCTTCGGCGTCATCATCCACCAACAACATACATCCTACTTTATGTACATCGAGAAATCCCACCGGGAACAACAGTTCAACACTATTAAATCAATCAATTGAAACAGTGAATCATATTGATCATTTCAATGACAATCTTTCCGGTCATAAATCTAGTCCAAATAACGGTAGTAGTAGTAGTAGTAGTACTACTATTACTACTACTCCTTCTACTCCTACAGTACATGCTCAAGTTTATCTCATTGATTTTGCACATTGGACAAAGAAATACTCCAATCTACCCAATAATAACATTCACAATACTGATGATGTTGATGATGATGTTGACGATGACGATCACAGTACAAATTGTTGGACTTGTGAATTAACTCATGGTTTTCGTTATGGATTAGAGAATTTAATTAATTTCATGCAACGTGTTGTGAATACAACAACAACAACAACAACAACAGAGAATAATGCAATTTGTATAAATTCATGAATTAACATACGCGTACAAAAGCTCCCCATACATTATATTCTACTTGCCTATTCACTTATATATATAAAAAGTATTGCGCACTATACACTCATCCAATCACATGTACCTAGACACAAACATACACACACACACAGAGAGAGAGAGAGAGACAGACAGACATTATCTGTCTATCTGTGTGTGAGGCCACCGGTAGTTTTGTCTGCTATGTATGTGACTTAGTCTCTTTTTATTATTTACACTTCTTCTTCGACGACGACTACTCCTACTACCATTAATGTGTTGTATGCATGCATATATCCCAAAGAAAAGATATTATTATTTAAAACAATTACTAGTCCCTTTTCAAAAAAAATTTTATATTGAACACAATGAGGAGAAGAAGACGTAATTTGATCTGAAAAAGGAAAGGTGATGTATTTTGTGTATGTGTTGTACATTTTGGAACAATCTAGTCACGTACACATATATATGTGTACGACTTAATCAAGGCATTTTATTTATATGAGACAATGTTTAAAACACATGGTATAGAGATGTTGAAGGAAGTCTTGCCTATTTCCGTAAATTCAAACTCGCTCTCCCCACCCCCACGCGCTTATGTGTACAGTACTAATTTGTACCCCTTTCTTATTCATTCTAGTATTACGTTAGTTTTCTCTCTCTCTCTCTCTCGCCTTTATGATTATACAATGATCGCCTTATGTTCTATTTGAATCGTCATATAAAATAATGCTTTGACAAGTGTACGCATATATGTGTGCATGACCAGATTGTTCGAACAATGTATACGTCTTCTGCATTTCTTTTTTTCTTGTGAGGATTATTGATTGTGTCTTCCTCAGTCACTCACTCACTCGCCCTCTCTCTCTCACTCTCTGTTGATTTCATTTTATCTGTCCGCCTGTTTCGAATTCATGTTGACTTCTTTTCATGCGTGAATTCAACAGAAGCCGCAAGAAACAAAAGTGACCAGCTGTTGATTTCATAATCTCCTTTATTATCATTATTATTATTATTGTTATTATTATTATGAGTCCATTTTTACTTTATTTCAATTGAAGAGGGGTTATTTATAAATTATTCAATATGTTTCTCAAATGTTACTGTATTTGCAATTATACATACTATTGATTAGTTAGTATGGTCTTAATTCATTCTTATATATGTGCGAGATATCCGTTTGCTGACTAAAGGACGAGTGTACTGCGCAGTGGTTCGCTCCGTCTTACTTTTTGGCCGTGAAACATGGCCAATGAGAGTAGAAGATACTCGTCGGTTATTGGTTTTCGATCATAGGTGTCTTCGAAGCATTGCTCGTATATCGTGGTACACCCGAGTGAGCAACGCTGTTATTAGGAAACGGGTACTAGGTAAGAATGGCAGATCAATCGATGAAGTGGTGAAACTTCATCAGTTGAGGTGGTTGGGACACGTGTTGCGTATGCCTAACCACCGGCTGCTTCGTCGAGCTTTGTTTTGTAGTGTAGGAATAGGTTGGAAGAAAGCTAGGGGCGGTTAGACCAAAACATGACAGCAATCCATGAAGTCATTGACGAGTGGACTTAGCCATGTCGGTAATTGTCGACTACCTGGTTGGGGTCCGCGAGATGATAATAATCGATGGCTAGAGACCTTGAATGACATGGCTCAAAATCGTTCGCAATGGCACCAGTGCATTTATTCTTTGTGTTCTCTCAAATCCTAATCTTCTGGATTCTTCAACCTCTCTAGTTTTGACTTTCTAAACTTATCTCATTGAATCATACTTCGTGAATAATATCTTCTAATCCTAACCTCTCCGATTACTTCTAATACCTTTACTACCTCTTCTACTATTGGATTTGAATTGACAATTATATCTCTGTGCTGATGTGGTATGGCAACATAAACTGATGTAATTACGTACGAAGTTCTACGTTGCAACTGACTGATTCTTATATATGTATATATGTGCATTACGGGTTTGTTGTGAGGATTGTTAAGTTACACATTTTTTTCTGAAACCATGAATCGATCAATGTTAGACCATCACCGTTAGAAACCTGGAAGCACTGGACGGCCGAGTTCTAGTGGGAAGACGTCGTGACCAGTGAAGTTCAACCTGTTCGGGTGTAGACAGTAACTACTACCGAAGACTGTGTATGAGGTTGCGCAACTCCGTGAATTTGATCAAGTTAGACACTTTAACACCGTTAGATACCGGCTCAGTTGTCTAACGGTTAGGGCGTTCGCGCACAATACCGAAGGTCCTGGGTTCGAATCCTGCAGGGTGCAGGAGTCGTGGATGCGCACTGCCACTGATAAGTAGTCCTATACGAGGACGAGACGGCCGTCTTTCAGTGCTTCCAGGTTTCTAATGGTGGTCTAACATTGATCGATTCGTGGTTTCAAAAATATGTATATGTATATGCGTGTCTACTGACACCGAAACAATCACATATCTCATATTGGGCATGATGAGAGAGATGATCGATAGCAGCAAATGATGAGATGAATTATATTATAAGTAAAAACCTTGTAATCATAATAATCATAATAAGTACTGAATAAAAAACAGATGAACTATAGAGAAAATCATTCGAAACAATAGTGTGAAGCAATTTGGAAATGCCTCCTAGATGATATATGATAACAAGTGCTAGTGTAAATTTATTTTTTTAGGCTGCAGCTGCTACTGTGTTATCTATGACGTAATGAATGATTTTGACTTTTATATAACAACAATTCAATCAGTTGCATAATCCTGTTCATGTTGTCATTATTATTATTATTATTATTATTATTATTATTAGTGAACTGAAGTCATGCAACTCAATCAATCAACAGCAGCGTAGAACTTCATACATACTCACATACATCGGTCCAAGTTGTCGTACCACATTAACACAGAGACACAATTATCTATTCACATCTAATGGTAGTAGTTACTAGAGGTAGTAAAAGTATTAGCAGTATTTGGAGAGATTAGGGTTTGACGCTTTGATTCAATAAGTAGAATCTAGTGAAGAAACTTAAAAAGATAAAGGTGATGAGGAGTTCAGAAGGTAAGGAGGCGACTTGAGAGAACATAAAGAATGAATGTAACTGGTGACAAATAAGATGCCACTATTTAGTAGAAAGAATGAGTTTGTATCGATTTTGTGAAATATATTTAATTTTCATTGACTAGAATTGTTAGTAATACATATCTTGGGAGAAGTATTATTTTTCCCGAAATTTCTATCGAACTCAATAGAGAAAAAAAAAGAGTAGAGATATTTCAAATCATTATACTGGATTTTTAAACAATTTGCGTTTTTACACATTTGAATCCATCAATCAATCATTGTTAGAGCACCATTAAAAACATGGAGGTACTCGATGACTACCGTTTCGTCTTGATATGGGACTCATCAGCAGTGCGAACCCACGACTCCTGCAACTCGAACCCAGGACCTTCGGTATTGTGCGCGAACGCCTAACCATCAGACCACTGGGCAGGCATCCAACGGTGTTAATGTCTAACTCTGATTGATCTAGGGATTGTGCGCGACCTCACCCATTTGTCTTTGGTAGTTACTGCCTACACCTGACAGGGTTGAACTCCATTGGTCATGTCTTCTCAACTAGAACTCCGAGAATTTCCTCACGAAGCTACTGTTCACTGGTGAGCACTGTTACGATATTAGCATTTTGTTCAATTTAGGGGCTGTGAAAATTTTTAATTAGTAGCTAGTTTACAAGAAAAATGCTAAGAAAAAAAATCCTCTCTTCCATCATAGTTAAGGAAAACATTTACCTTCTTATTACTTCAATATTGGGTTCAGAGTCCTTGGACAGCTGAGTAAGTAATGCTATCGTTCGGAAAGGAGTACTAGTTAAGGATGGCAGACCAATAGGTGAAGTGGTGAAACTTCATCAGTTGAGGTGCTTTGGACATGTGTTACGTATGCCTAACCATCAACTGCCTCTTCGAGCTATGTTTTGTGGTGTAAGAATAGTTTGGAAGAAAGTTAGGGGCGGCCAAACGAAAATGTAGCAAAAATCCATGAAGTCACTAACAAGTAGACTGAGTCATGTTGGTAGGTGTAGACTAACTGGTTAGGGACCTAGAACGAAATGGTTAAAAATCGTTTGGAATGGCGCAAGTGCATTCATTCTTTGTGTTCCCTCAAATTCTAACCTCCTGAATTCCTCATCATCTCTATCTTTCAAAAGTTATCTCACTGAATTATACCTCTTGAATCATACATTCGAACCCTAATCTTCTGCATTACCAGTAATACTTCTACTATCTCTACCACAATGCGATTTGAACTGACAATTGCGGCTCTGTGCAGATGCGGTATGGCGACCTGACGTACGTATGTACGAAATTCTACTTTGTAAATGACTGACTAGGTCAAGAGTCATTTGGTGTCATAGAGTGAAAGTTCATTTAGAGTATTTAATGCTAATATTTTGATTTGCGTAATTAGAAGCGGATTACAATGTAGCACCTCACATATAATCTTGTACTTTTATCATTGTTCAGCTTGTATGCGCGCATGTACGCTTGGGCATTACTTACCATCTACACATAATAGTTATTTGACTAGCTGTATCGATTAACAGTTTGAATAATTCGATGTCAATATCGACTATACATATTTGAATTAAATCCCATATTTGTATCGATCATTAAAATAATTTGAATAATAAAGAAATTGTGGCAACAACGACTCGTGTTCTTTCGTAGCGAGCGATCATCAAGACGAAGATATACTGGGAATCGAAGATAACGAAAGTCTAACGCCACAACAGCAAAACCGCTTATCACTAACTCGATTTCATGTTCGTGTAGCTCTCAGCTCTAAAAAAAGGACTCGATTATCCTGATGAAAATTATAAACTTAATCTGATATATGTTTGTTCAGATACAGAACAGAATTCAGATTTTAGAAAAATTATCAAACTATATTTAAGCAGATAAAAACGTATTCATGTAAGATTGAATAGAGATTTAATCCGTATACGTTTTT